ATTGAAGGTCGCTCTATAATATTCCGGTTGAAACCTCGTTCTGCCGTTTTTCCTGTTTTTCCAGCAGCTTCACGTTCTTCTTCTTAATCCTTATTCTTATACTGCCTCCTCTTTCTATTCTTTCTAACAACAATAGAATAACCTATTATTCTTTTAACTCCTTATTAGGCTCAAAACTAATACACCCCATTTATTACTTCTATTCCTTAAAAACAAGCCCACGTCAAATAACACCATGCTTCTAATATTATTTCTCCACTTAATAAAATACTTAAATCCAATTAATCACAACACATCTTCTCAAATATTCCAAAAATAAGAAATTAGATGTGACAGTTAGGGAAATAGGTTTTGTCAAGTAGAAGAGGAATAAGGGTTGGAAGAGAGAAAGATAACGTAGAAGTTGCAGATCAAAGGGAAAAGAGGTAAAGCTAGGTTCGATCGAAGAATTGTAGAGCGGTCTCCAATCCAAGGTAAGGGTGGGGTTCTGACTCTATAATATGGTATGTGATGAGTGGTATGCGGGATTGTGTTTGTAGAATTGTTTCTGTTTGTGTTTGAAATTTATATATTGTTCTTTGATGGGGAGTCAATGAATTAGAGATGAATAATGATGCCCAAATGATGTATAATTTATGTAGAAACATAGGATGATAATATATGATGATTACATATGATTTGATGACATTTTAAGACCCATAATATAGTTAAATCCCAGAAAATCACAGTAAATCGCAGAAAAATCCAGTATAAAACAGCATGAGTCGACTCATGCAGAAGGCGGGGTCGGCCTGAGCATACCCGAGAGGTAGAATCTCTCTATCAAACAGCTGTGATTTGACTCATTGGGTCGACCTGGGCATACCCGAGTGACACCCAATTTTCGACAATTTTGTAACGACCATAACTTTTGAACCGCAACTTTGTTTGATGCGCCGTTCAAAGTGTTGGATAGCTAACGCAATGAACTATATTTATAAAGAGTAAAATGAAGGATAAGAAGGATAGTTATAGTACCCAATTTAGGATAGAGTTAGTTTCCCTGCATGGAATCACTATGATGTTTTGTGGTGATGAAGTATGATGATGACATGACGATCTTATGATAATGCTTGGTTCATAATAATAATATTAATAATAATGATGATGTAGTATTTATAGTATAATAATTTATAGAATTTTTTTAATTAGAAATAAGCATTTATATTATTAATTAATCGTAAATAGTTGAAATAGTCCGAATAATTACGCAGTTTAGTTGTAGTAAATTTTGGTTGATTCGTGGTATCGTGTTCTTTGTTGAACAATGCGAATTTATAGGTGATGATGTATCTTGTTGAATTTCCTCTATTTATGGGCAAAATATTAAGTTGTAGGCTTATGGTCAATGTTGAATTGTTGTTGAGTTGTTGTTGTTGAGTTGTTGTTGAATGGTTTATGTTGTAGTTGTTGTTGTACTTCATAATATTGTCGCATACATATCATATCAAGTTGGAGCTGATGCTCAGTAAGTTGGGCTGAATTGACAAATTAAGTTGTAGGCTTATGCTAACATTATGTTAATTGTTGTTGTTGAAATATCAAGTTGTAGGCCTATGGCCAGTGTTGAATTATTATTAAGTTGTTATTGAATTGTTGTTAAGTTGTAGTTGAATTGTTGTTGTTGTGTTGTTGTTGAATTATTGTTAAGTTGTAGTTGAATTGTTGTTGTTGAAATGGTTGATGTTGTAGTTGTTGTTGTCGCATGCATAGCATAACAAGTTGGCATGGATTGACAAAAAGTTGAAGTTGAAGGTTTGCGCGTTGTTGATGCCTCTATTAATTTCTAAGTTAGGAGTTCTACTCTATTTTTAAGTTGACAGTTCTGCTCCGCTGGTACCACATGCATGTGCATTGTAACTAGTCGCATTCCGTGTTGTATATTTAAGATGTTGTGTTGTTGACTTGTGATGATTGATGTTGGTTGAAAGTTGTGAAGTGGTGATTTTATATAATTTGATCTAATATATTATTTATTATACACTCAATTATATAGTTTGATATGTCACCCATTCTGTTTGATTGTTACCCATTCTGTCTGATACGTAACACTCGGGGGGATGAACGCTTATTATTTTATTATGGATTAATACCTATTTTCACCCCTAACATATGGGGTGTATTTGAAAAAATGTTTGCAGTGAACGCTTCTTACCATGGACATACTGTTTGCAGTGAACGCTTCTTACCACTAGACCAATGCATTTTCTTTGTTACATATATGCATCAATAAATATTCATATCATTAACATATTAATTACAATTATCAATAAATTTTCTTAACTAGTTGATTTAAATAATTTTTAAAAAAATGTTTTACATATTTTATCTTTTTACTGTAACTTTTTTTAAATTTTAAATTTTCAAAAATCACTTAAATTTAAAAAAATCACTTAAATTTAAAAAAATCACTTAAATTTACAAAAATCACTTAAATTTTAAAAAATAAGTTAAATTTAAAAAAATCACTTAAATTTTTAAAAATCACTTAAATTTAAAAAAATCACTTAAATTTAAATCACTTAAATTTAAAATCACTTAAATTTTCATAAATCACTTAAATTTAAAAAAATAAGTTAAATTTAAAAAAATCACTTAAATTTTCAAAAATCACTTAAATTTTCAAAAATCACTTAAATTTAAATCACTTAAATTTTCAAAAATCACTTAAATTTAAAAAAATCACTTAAATTTAAAAAAATAAGTTAAATTTAAAAAAATCACTTAAATTTTCAAAAATCACTTAAATTTAAAAAAATCACTTAAATTTTCAAAAATCACTTAAATTTAAATCACTTAAATTTAAAATCACTTAAATTTTCGTGATTTTTGAAAATCACTTAGTTTTGAAAATCACTTAGTTTTGAAAATTTAAGTGATTTTTGAAAATTTAAGTGATTTTTGAAAATTTAAGTGATTTAAATTTAAGTGATTTTTGAAAATTTAAGTGATTTTTTTAAATTTAAGTGATTTTTGAAAATTCAAGTGATTTTTGAAAATTTAAGTGATTTTTTAAAATTTAAGTGATTTTTTTAAATTTAAGTGAATTTTGAAAATTTAACTTATTTTTTTAAATTTAAGTGATTTTTTTAAATTTAAGTGATTTTTGAAAATGTAAGTGATTTTTTTAAATTTAAGTGATTTTTGAAAATTTAAAATTTAAAAAAAAGTTACAGTAAAAAGATAAAATATGTAAAACATTTTTAAAAAAATTATTTAAACCAACTAATTAAGAAAATTTATTGATAATTGTAATTAATATGTTAATGATATAAATATTTATTGATGCATATATGTAACAAAGAAAATGTATTGGTTTAGTGGTAAGAAGTGTTTATTACAAACAATATGTCCATGGTTCAATTCTTGCTGAAGGACAAAAAAATTTTAACTGAAACTTTTAAAATTGGAACTTTTTTTTTTGGCAGGGGGTTTTTCAAATACACCCCATATGTCAAGGGTGAAAATAGATATTAACCTTTTTATTATTGATTTTACTTTCGTTGTTGAATTTTAAGTTGTTTTCATTAAGTACTGGTTGTTTTGAAGTTATTTTCGGTTGGACAAAGATGTTATGACATTTGAGTTGAAAAGTTGTGATTCCGCTGCTTAATTATAAAAGTTGTTTTATTTTCAAAGACTAATTTACGTTGCTATCGGTTCATCTGAGTTTTAAGTGTTATGTATCTGTTTTATATGCGATAAAATGTCATTATTATAAAGTGAAAGTGTAGCATCATATTTATATGTCGAAATTTTATAACTGATGTTATTAATATTCGCCATGTAGGAATGAGGTGTTACAACAACCACAACATCATCTCCATCAACCGATATATGTGTAGCAGCAGACTCAAGGGACTTCAATGACTTTTTCTGATTTGGAGGGCCATGAGGTTTAGAAGTAGTGGAAAGGGGCCTCAACAACTTGCAGGATTGCACCATGTGTTCAATTTTCCTGCAATGATTACATAACTCAATAAAATTTTCGCACTCTATATCGGAGAAAAATGTGAAACCTTCTCTTTCAACGAACACATTGTGGTTTAGAGGAAGAGTTAAATCTATGTCAATTAACACATGAACAAACAACCCAAATATTCGATCTACCTTGAATTTGGAAGCTACAACATCAATACAAATCGAAATACCGACACAAGTAGCAGTAACAAATTCTAATTTTTTTAGGCCAGTCACCGACTATTATTGATATTTTAATGAAATAACTAATTTATTTTAGGGTTAAATAAGTTTTTGGTCCTTTTAAATATCTCAAATTTCGTTTTTAGTCCTTCTAAATTTTTCTTTCAAAGAATAATCCTCTTAAAAAATTAAATTTTAGCTTTTGATCCCTCCTGACAAAATCGTTGCTAAAATAATCTATAATTTCATTGTTAAATGAAAACCGTAGATAAATTATAAAAATCATCGTTAAATTGCAGGAATGACCAAATAATTATTTAACCCTTTATTTTAAAATTAAAAAAAAAAAAGTTCAACGGGAGAAAATTTTTAATGAGAGGTTACATTCAAGTTTGACATTGTTTAATGTAATGAATATCAAAATCCATTAGCCCATCTACTTTGAAGTAGACAAGGAATATATAATATATATTTTATATATATATGAAGAAGTTGTCTTCTCGGTTTGCAAAAAGGAAGAAGGAGGAAGCGTGAAGCAAGGCGAGGCAAGAAAGATTTGATCAAACGGTCCAAAACCAGCCAAACAATTTCGAAATCAAGTCCCACAGAAACCCATGTAACCAACCACTGTTCTTCTCTCCCTGTCTCCCCATACCCCACCTCCATTAATCCCAAACTTTATAACAGAAAAATTTAATCACTCTACTTTATAGTTTATACATATCCACAACATTATTATTCATAAACGAATCAAATTAAAAATATCAATAACATTACAATTTACAATAGTAATAATAATTAACTGAGTTTATGTGAGGATGCAAGCGGTGGGGAGGTTAGGGAGCTACATTAGTCAAGGCGTATACACCGTTTCCGGCCCCTTTCATCCATTCGGGGGCGCCGTCGATATCGTCGTCGTTCAACAACAAGACGGTTCATTCAAATCGTCACCATGGTACGTTCGATTCGGCAAATTTCAAGGCGTTTTGAAATCGAAAGAAAAAATCGTTCAAATCAACGTGAACGGAATCGATGTTGATTTACAAATGCATCTCGATAACAAAGGGGAGGCTTTTTTTCTGAGAGAAATTGATGCGGAAACGGTTTTGTTTGATTCGATTGAATCTGGTGATGGTGATGGTGATGATATGGATGTTCAATCTTTGAAGAGTAAGAGTAGTAATTTCGGTTCGGAGGATGGGAAGGTTGTTGGGAGGAGTAATTCGAATACGCGTCGGTCGAGGATACTTGGACTTATGTTTGGGAGAAGGTCTTTGAGTGGTGAATTTGAGGATGCTATTGGGAATAAGGAACGTGCTGAGATTGCGGCCAATTTGTTGGATATTAAGTGGTCCACGAATATTGGTGGCGAGAATAATCGAGAGGGGGATCATGCTGTGGTTGTCGAGAATGAGGATGGTTCTTTTGGTGTTGCCAAGGTTGATAAGAAAGTGAGTGGACAAGAGCTTTCATGTGAACAAACTCATGAGGTTATGAACCTTTCTCATGGGGAGAGTGGAGAGGTTCATGTCCATGATCAAGTCTTGCATTCACTTGCAACTCAGGTAAATTCACAAGTCTTAGGTATGTTTGGATTGGCTTATTTGAGTTTATCTTATGGTATAACTACTTGTGAGACTGTTAGGAAGAGCTTACCGAAACAACTCTATTTTCAGCTTATTTTCAAAAGCTTGTTAGGATAGATAGCTTATGAAAACAATTTCTAACTTAGTTTATAGCTTATGAAAATAGTTAGACTTTATTTTATCTTTTGTTATAAAAAAAATCTTATACATTATGTGATGAACAATTATGCTTTTAGTGCTTAATTTCGTTTAATTCAAATAGGGTCGAGTCAAGTTTTAAATCAAAGTTGCAGAACTATCATTGACAATGCTTATTATCCTAAAAAAACAACTATCCTCGACATTGCTAAAAATGTCTGTCAAATGTGTTTGATCTAGCCCTAATTGGTGTGGTAGAGATGTCAAAAACGTTGATGTAGCGAAATGTTGTTTAAAACCTTGGTCAGAATGGTTTATTAATGATGGTGCTTTAGAAAAAAGTATATGATACTGAATTCTTTTAATCGAGCAACCCTCTAATCTGTTTTGGTTGACACTGACACTTGTATATTAAAATTCTTCTTCAGGGTACGGAAAATGAGAAAGTCACTAAGAATGCTGATGCAGTGGAAGTCTTTGAGTTTCATTCTCAGGCTCGGGTAATAGATTCTTCTGATTCAGAAGCTAGTATGTATGACGATGTAGAGGATGTTCAAGACCTAACAACATCTCCAAAACCTCAAACCAACAATTTGGATGTAGGGCATTGTTCAAGTGAGAAAGTTGAGTCCTATTGTGTAGACCTAACTACATCTCCACAACCTCAAACAAACAACTTGGATATAGGGCATTGTTCAAGTGAAAAAGTTGAGTCCTATTCTGTTACCAATACTTCCAGTTACAACAGCCTGGATGACCGAGGATTATGTGAGAATAATATGAAGGATAAAGATGTCTCTAGCTCTTTATCAACTCCATCACACTCCCTTGGTGATTGTTTACCTAGTGAAACATCTAGGATATCACTCTCCCCGAGTTCAGATGAAGAGAATTTCCTTTTTGGTGACTTTGATGAAAGTGGAGTTAATGATCAACTTGAGGGATCATTAAGCCCCAAATGTATAGATAAAGAAGATAATATTTCTTATGAGAATGGAACTGAAAACTCAAGAGTGACTTCCTGTCCCATAGTTATCCCTAGAAATGAGGATGCTGGGGAGGAAGTTGGGCGGTGCACTGGATCCTTGCCAAATATTTCTTCTGGTAGTAACAGTATGTGCCAACATGTTCGTTATCCTTTAAGTCAATCACTGGACTCGACATTTCCTGGCAAGGATAACTTGGAATCCTTAAAATTAGACGAGTACAAAGAGAAGCAGTTACCTCAAGAACAGGCGGATACCAAAGATTGCCAAGATTCTGATGAATTCAAAGATACTGCTTTGAATCTTCCTCCTGGTAAGGGAACTGGTATAAATTGCCAGTGTAATGTCTCCTTTGTTTTTTGTCAACTGAATTGGGAACAGTCTATGAAAATATGTATACTGAATATTCTTTATTCTATGGAAAGCTGATTTGTATATCATTGTGTAGCAGCAGTTGGTAATTTTCATTACGCTAAAGATTTGGAAGCAACATACATTCTACTATACGAATTTAATTTGCTGAGACACGTATCTAGTATTTTGGTAGAGCAAAATGGATGGATTTTGTCATTGTTGTACCCTTTGAAATATGCTTCATGGAAATAAAGCCTTAGGTAGTTAGTTCCTTTGCTGATTTATCAATTATACAAACAATTTACCGAACACTTGTATGAAGGAATGCGAGCTGACTCTACTTTAAAATATCCATTGCTGAACATCTAGTTGATAACAAATTCTTTCCTCTAGGCCTGGGATGATAATATACTTATTTTTGAGATTTGTCATGGGATTTAGGAATTAGGCACGGTGTCTATTGGACTAACACATGTTCTCTTTTGAAATTAAAAAAATGTTGACCATGTTGGGAAAAAAAATCATGCAGGAGGTACATCAACAGGAAATTGGAGAATTTGGCCTTTCTCCTTGAGCAGATCAGTATCTAGAGAACGTTTGCCGCCAATTCCAAATGATGCCAAAAGTACTATTTTTGGCAATTCTTCAGAGAATATGACTTTCACAGATGTGAACAAAAATGATAGCAAACCCAATCCAACAAAAAAGATGATTAGGGAAACAACTCCAACTTCTGAACAGATAGCATCACTGAATCTGAAGGAAGGGAGGAACATCGTAACCTTCACTTTTTCTACAGCTATGCTGGGGAAACAGCAGGTCAGTAATAATGAATTTCTACGATTTAAGAACTTGAAATATATTTTCCCTTTAATGTATGTTTCTTTAATTTGAATCTCTTAATCAATATTATTTCTTATATTTTACATTTTATTTGATTAACAGGTCGATGCTCAAATATATTTGTGGAAATGGAACGACCGCATAGTTATCTCGGATGTGGATGGGACAATTACAAAGTGAGGATATATCTTTTGGAAAATTATACTGTTTTTAAAATAGATAACTCAGTTTGACAATATGCTAACCTTCTTTTACTAATTGTTTTCTTTCTCATTGTTAATTTGGTATCACACACCAAATAAATATATTTGTTGTCCCTCTGAAAATATTGTCCTATGCAATCTCATTGCTGAGTTCATTATTTTTTTTTCCAGTTGTTTGCTCCTCAAAAATCTGTTGGAAATAGAAAAATAAATTGTATGTTTTTCACTAAAATGAGCATTTAAGTCTTAGGTTCATGTATATTCAGATTCATGCATTTAGGGAGTTGGACTATTATTTATTTCTCCTTGTAAACATGATATATAATTAATTATATAGTGTGTATAAATATCAAGGTTGCTGAGTGCTTTACTCACTCAAGCACATTCAAAAAATTTCTTATTCCTATTTTTTACATGGCATCAGGGCTCCTAATTTAGGGGACTCTATTTTCGCTAATCATTCTTTAGAGATCTGACTGGACATTTTTATGCTGTCAGAACACTTCAATCTTGACTGGGCAGCGCTTGCTGTCAAGTTTTTCCAATTAAACGCTATCTATACTTTTTCGGTAGCTGTCCGTACAGTTTTCTGCAGCGGTCGGTACCGCTCTGCAGATTTTTCAGCCGCTGCCTGCACAGTTCCAGCCGCTGCCTGCAGATTCTTCATCGAATCTTGTTTTCTTTTGTATCTTATACATAAATATTTGGTTGTTGCTCCTTCATGATCAATAGTATGGAAAAGTCATCAGGTAATTGCAGTGTAGCATATTCTGTTAAGTTTCCACTCTCATTTGGATTTCATGTCTCAAAACAACACCTTCTTGTTTATTTTAGATATTAGATTCAGGAGCCACAGACCATATGACACCCTCTTCGAAACAATTCTCCACATATTCCCCTTGGCCCAGTAATAAAAGATTTCTACTGCAGATGGTACTCTTGTAATTGTAGCGGGCATTGGAGATATCCAAATAAATCATTCTATAACTTTAAAAAGGGTCATCCGTGTTCCAAAACTATCCATGAACCTTGTCTCCATACAAAAACTTACAAATGATTTATCCTGTAGTGTTACTTTTCATAATGATTGTTGTATATTTTAGGATAAGGAGTCGGAAAAGACGATTGGACGTGCTAGAGAAAAGAATGGCCTTTACTATCTTGAAGAACCAGATCAGTGTACAAAATGTCACTTGTCTAACTCATTTATGTCAGAGTCAGTACTCTCTAAAAAGAAAAGAAAAATTCTTTTTTATTGTCGATTAGGTCATCCTTCTTTTGGAGTCATTAAAGTTTTGTTTCCATCTTTATTCAATAAGGTAGATATTGAAAGTCTTCATTGTGATGTGTGCGAGTTTGCTAAACATAAGCGTTCACCTTTTCCATTAAATAATAAAAGAAGCCTTTCCCCCTTCTATCTTATTCATTCAGATGTTTGGGGTCCCTCAACCAATTCAAATGTAACGGGTGCTAGGTGGTTTGTTACTTTTATAGACGATTGTACCCGGGTTACTTGAGTGTTTTTACTCTAAAACAAGTCTGACGTCAGTACTGTTTTCCCAAAGTTTTTCTACACGATTAAAAATCAATTTGGAGTAAACATCAAAAGGCTTAGGTCTGATAATGGAAAATAGTACTTCAATCACGTTCTTACCTCTTTCAGTAAAAAAGAGGGAATTGTCCATGAGTCTTCTTGTGTTAAAACACCACAACAAAATGGAATTGCAGAAAGGAAAAATGGGCATCTATTAGATCAAACCCGAGCACTATTGTTTCATCAAAATGTTCCAAAATATTTATGGGGGGAGGCTGTTCTCACTAGTACATATCTTATTAATCGATTACCCTCTAGAGTATTAAGGTTCAAGACTCCTATGGATGATCTTTCTTCCTTCTATCCAAATTTGTCAGGAAGTAGTAATCTTAAACCTAGAATCTTTGGGTGTGTCTCATTTGTCCATGTGCATAGTCGAGACAAAAAAACTCGACCCTAGAGCCCTAAGATGTGTTTTTGTCGGGTATTCCTCTACTCAAAAGGGATATAAGTGTTTCCATCCTCCATCTAAAAAGTTTTTCGTGTCGCGGGATGTTACCTTTCATGAGGAGGAACCGTACTTCACTCAACCTTATCTTCAAGGGGAGAATTTTTAGGAAGATAAGCTTGAAAATCTCGATCTTTCTGGTCTTGAGTCAAATACACTCAATCTGTCTAGTATTAAGTTAAATACTTCTGGTCATTCTAGTCATGAGTCAAATCCACCTAATTCTTCCAGCTTAGAGTCAAATAGACCCAATCTTTCTGGTCCTGAGTTAAACATACTTGTACCAGACCCATCTGAGGCTGAAGAACTAGGAGTTGAGTCAAATCAATCAAATACACCACTTGCTGAACTTGGACATGAAGTGGATGTAAGATATGGAAAGAATCTAGTTTACATGAGAAAGTCAAAGGCCATTCCTGAATCCTCAAAAGCTCAAGAGTCTGACTCGACTCCTTCAAATGAGGTAATTAATTCTTCTGAATTACAAGATAAAATGATGACCCAAACAATAGATGATGACCTAGACCTTCCAATTGCTATTAGAAAAGGTACCAGAAAATGCACCAAACAACCTTTATATCCTCTTTCAAACTATCTTTCTTTTCAAAAATTCTCACCTATTCATAGAGCCTTCCTTACAAACCTAAATGCTACTTCCATACCTACTAATGTTTCTGAGGCATTGTTTGATGAAAAATGGAAGCAAGCCATGAGTATCGAAATGGACGCATTGAAGAAGAATGAAACTTGAGAGTTAGTGACTTTACCAGAAAGAAAGAGGCCGGTTGGATGCAAATGGGTGTATACAGTAAAATATAGGGCTGATGGATCAATCGAAAGATATAAAGCCAGGTTGGTTGTCAAAGGGTTTACACAAACCTATGGAATTGACTATTCAGAGACATTTGCTCCGGTTGCAAAGATGAATACAGTGAGAGTAATTTGTCACTTGCTGTCAATTATGGCTGAGATTTACAACATTTTGATGTGAAGAATGCCTTTTTACATGGAGAACTCGAAGAGGAGATTTATATGCAGGTACCACCGGGGTATGAAAAAAATGTGTCTGACAATACAATTTGCAAGTTGAAAAGGCGTATATGGTCTAAAACAATCACCTCGAGCATGGTTTGGAAGATTCACTAAGGTTATGACATCTTTGGGGTACAAGCAAAGTCAAGGGGATCACACCTTGTTTCATCAAACACTCGCCACAAGGGGGAGTGACAGTTCTGTTAGTATATGTGGATGACATTATAATGACAGGAGATGATTGGAAGGAGCAACAAATCTTGAGTCAGTGTTTGACTAAGGAGTTTGAAATGAAAACTCTTGGAAAGCTGAAGTACTTCTTGGGAATCGAGGTGGTACATTCCCGAAAAGGAATTTTTATATCTCAACAAAAATACATTACAGAGTTACTCAAAGATACAGGAAAAATAGCATGTAAACCTGCGAGCGTTCCTATGGATCCAAATCTTAAACTGAGTAATACAGAAGAAAATGTTGCAGTAGATAAAGAAATGTATCAACGTCTAGTTGGGAGATTAATTTACTTGTCTCACACTAGACCCGATATTGCATATGTTGTAAGTATGGTTAGTCAGTTCATGCACTGTCCTAAAGAAAACCATTTATAAGCAGTTCATAGAATCCTACAGTATCTTAAGGGAACTCCAGGAAGAGGAATTTTGTTCAAAAGAAATAGAAATACAACCCTTGAGGCCTACACTGATGCAAATTATGCAGGTTCAATTGTTGATAGAAAATCCACTACAAGGTACTACACCTTTCTTGGAGGAAATCTTGTGACTTGGAGGAGTAAGAAGCAAAATGTAGTAGCCCGTTCTAGTGCAGAAGCTGAATTTCGAGCCATGGCACAAGGCATTTGTGAATTACTTTTGTTCAAAATTATTTTAGAAGATTTGAAAATCAAACAGGAAGGACCCATGAAGCTCTACTGTGATAATAAGTCAGCTATCAGTATAGCACATAATTCAGTTCAACATGGTCGAACTAAGCATATTGAGGTTGATAGACACTTCATTAAAGAGAAGCTTGATAGTGGGCTGATTTGCACCCCATATGTGTCCTCACAAGGGCAACTTGTAGATATTCTCACTAAAGTATTGAGTAGCACTAATTTTGAACGAATTGTATCCAAGCTGGGAATGGAGAATACTTATTCACCAGCTTGAGGGAGAGTGTTGGAAATAGAAAAATAAATTGTATGTTTCCCATTAAAATGAGCATTTAAGTTTTAGGTTTATGTATATTTAGATTCATGCATTTAGGGAGTTGGATTATTATTTATTTCTCCTTGTAAATATAATATGTAATTAATTATATAGTGTATATAAATGTCAAGGTTGTTGAGTGTTTTACTCACTCAAACACATTCAGAAAATTTCTTATTCCTATTTTTCACAAAATCATATGAAACTTTTTTCATGCTATTTTCACTTTATCTTATTTTTGTTTACTTCCTGTTAGATTTTTTATATAAACTAGCATGCTCTTGCCACTCCGAACTATCTCGTACACACAGCACATGTATAAAGCTATGAAGCTTGGAGTATAGATCTAATATTTAACATCATTATGGATTGTTTGTGAAAAAATGAACTTGGAACAAGAAGGAAAAATATTAGAACACTAGTGTCATAGTTGAATGTGGGGCACTTTGTCTGGAGTTTCCCTTCACATTTGAATCTTAGTAGTCGAGTTGGGCTTAACACAACCCTACAAAACCGGCGAAAGTGGTCCAACGGATAGAGAAAACCTTTTATGGAGTTCCCTTCATATTTGATTCTTCATGGCTTGATATAGAAAACTTGGTAGCAAGTGGTCCAACGGATCTTGAATTGACTCTAATACCATCTTGGAATTGTGGTTGGGCCTAACACAGTCCTGCAAAACTGACTTGAAAGGTGAAGATTGCCATCACTTATAAACATATGTTCACACCATTTCTCATCCGATGTGGAACTCTTAACACATATTTTTTTGCCTATTGCATTAATCATTCTCCTGAATGTCTAGTTTTAAATAATGATAAAATTGAAGGGGAAATAACACATAAAACTGCTCATCTTTTCAAAATACATGATTTGGATTCCAGTGAAGAAAAGTTGTACGGCCACACTATGTAACTCATTTGGGCTACTTATGCGACTTTGACATTACCTTTACTGTTTTTTGTTATTCACTTGGGAGCATTCGTATTATTTTTGAAATCATATTATTTTTGAAATGAATAGCACTTAAAAGCTTAGGCTGGGAAAGGGCAGTTCAATGTCATCAATTGGATGTAAATACTAGTGTAGTTGAGGATCCTTGTTTAGTTCGTTCTAATCCTGATTATTGTAGAATTGTAGAGTTGTCAGATATGATTTATTTCAGCATTACCAATATACTTTTTAAGTCAAATTTGATTGAATACTTTAGGAAAAGGTTTTATGAGAAAGTTTATGGGCTCCATTACTCTTAGAATTGAATGTGTGAGTTGGGTCTAACTCAACTCTACAAAACTAACTTGTAAGGTGAGGATTGTCCCCACTTATAAGCACATGTTTAGGCCATATATTGTCTGGTGTGAGACTCTTAACAATTACTCCATCGTCCCATATTATTTGTTGCAATTGACCATTTCACATAGATTAAGAAACAATAATAAATGAAAGAGACAGAATAGTGATTTTACCAAACTATTTTGATTAACTATTGGTGTATTTAAATTAGCATTAATGTTAAGTGAAAAAACAAAAAAATTAAGAGTATTTATTAGAGGATACAATTGGATGATTAAATATAAAATTGCATTGGTAATCTAAAGTGACAAGTATTTTGGGACAATTTTTTTTTTCTACTTATTTTGGGACGGAGGGAGTAGTAATTAGTAATGCTTTGGTAAGTTTTGAGCTGAAAAGGTTGAGTTTGGTTGTTCCAGTAAGATTGCTTTTATTGGAATTCCATATGTATTATGAAAACAGTGAGCAGGAAAGTAAAATATGATGGACAACAAAAAGTTAAATTTTTTATGTCAGTAATTTACTTTCCCTCTTTCTAGGATTATTTTTAACATCATGATACACTTTTGCTTGTTAGAAGTCTGTCTTCTATCCCTCTTCTGTTAATTTATTTGTTTTGTTTCTTGTCCTACAGGTCAGATGTTCTTGGTCAGTTCATGCCTTTGGTTGGTGTTGACTGGTCACAGTCTGGTGTTGCACATTTATTCTCCGCTGTCAAGGTTTGTGTCATATGGTTAATTCCGGAATGCGCTGATCATACACCATTGCATTATTTGTAGTTTTTGGATAGATAGGCTCAGCAGCACAAACAGTTAGTTGATGTGCCCGTTAAAACCACAAAACTGTTGTCTTTTTAACTGCTGAGTGCTGATCATTCTAACATGAGTAGTTTTATTTGATGATTTATCATGGGAACTGTTAAATTTGTGACTGTGTCTAAATCAGACTGCACTCGCCTCTTTTTATAATAGAAATATAGAACAAAACAAATACAAAAAATATTGATCGACCCAAAAACAGAGACAAAGAAGTCATGATCAGCCAATGGAGAGAGAAAATGGGTCTAAATCTAGAAACAGGAGATGTTTGAACGGGAACCTTACTGGTGCCTAGCAATTAAAAACTGATGAAAAATCCAGAACTGGAAGATAGCCAGAAGCATTCAGACGCGCGGCTGTTGATTAAAGCACATGGGTGAAAATGAGAAAGTTGTTCGAGGAGCGTGAGTTTGCGTCGTGGTGGACAGTGGTTGATGATGGTGCTTCAGTGAATGGCCGATTTGACTCTAGAAAATCTAATGGCGGGGTCACCGTGACACGTAGGGCCATGTCTCAGAATTTAGGGTTGGGCGTAACTCATCCCTACAAAACTGGCTTGTAGGGGTGAAGATTGTCCCCACCTATAAATACAACACATGTCATATCTCTAAGCAATGTGGGATTAAATCCACCCATTCAAAGCCAACACAATGAAGGTGTTGGGGCTGCAATGAGGCAAGCCAAAGTGCCGCAATTAAGGCGACTAGGGGCGGACTGCAATTAAGGCGGAAAGTCCAACACCATGTATGTTGGAGAGTTCATGTGACAGCTATTTGTGTAACTATGATGACTAGGGTTTTGGGACCAGACTATGGTTTTCGTTGGATACTTAGCAGCCAAACTGAACAATCAAGTACAGTTAGCCTTGATGGTGGTTGAACCCAAGGACAAAGAACTAGAAATTTGAAGAGGATCGAATCGTTCGGAAAAGTGAAAACTATTATTATATTGCAACCATTTGGAAACTCCACAGTGGAAAAGTGGCAATGCTGTTCAAAGAGGATTGAACCAAGCTCTAGATACCATGTTGATTCGTGAGGGGGTCTAGTGATGATCACATTGGGCTTTGAGAAATGACATAAGTGAGTTGGATACCACATCTTCAGATCCAGAACCTTAAGGTATTAGATTTATGGGTACTCTCACTCATGGTTGTCGGGATCTAGCTCTAACTCCCAAAATCTTACGATCTTATGCTCCGGCAACCGGCCACCGATTTAAGTGGCACAAAGATCTTGGATTTGGCTGGAGCATTGAACTCCTAGAGAAAGATCTTTAAATCGTGGGATCTTGAGATCCCAACTATCCTTTTTTTGTTTTTACCCGCTTTAGACCCGTTTCGACCAGGTCATTAAACAATTGGAATCAGCCCATAAACTGACCCATAATTAACCCTGACTGTTTCTGACTGTTGTGCCCACATATTTTAGGGTTTTGGGACTTGCAATGTTTTAAATGACCTTCTATTATGTTTTTTTGGATAAAATATTTGCTATTGATGATTAAATTAATGAGAATTTTACGTTAAGTAGTTCTTTCTATAATTTTGTGTATTTGTTGGGATCTTACGATCCGTGTTACGATCTTACGATTTACGCTTTTTCTATACCCTAACAATCTTTATTGAGATCCCGATTTTGACAACCATGCTCTCACTTATATACTGCTCAATATCCACTTTCCCATCCACTGTGGGACGCCTGCTCACTTGAAATACTAGCAATCTCCCCCTCAAATGAGTCCATCCATTCTTATAGATATGCTCCCCTGCAAACGGAAGCATTTTTAGTCCATATCTACTTGCATTGCCGCTGCTTACTCCATCAACGGGACCTGCTACCTGAATAATGTGGTCAGGAAGACCTTCGATACTGTGAGCCGGTCGAACTAGACTCTGATACCATGCTGAACTTGTGATTCGTTATGTCTAAATCAGACTACACTCACCTTCGATACTGTGAGCCGGTCGAACTAGACTCTGATACCATGCTGAACTTGTGATTCGTTATGTCTAAATCAGACTACACTCACCTCAATTTATATTAGAAATATAGAATAAATACAAAAAAATATTTATTGATATGATTTGCTAATTTTAATAGTATTTGGATTTGATTCTATCGGGAACACTACCTGTACCCAGTCTATAGTAATCAATTTTACAATCACTTTTCACCCGAGTTGGATGTTTTTCATTGTCTTCTCTTGTCAATTTCACGTTTGCAGGAGAATGGTTACCAACTTCTTTTTCTCAGTGCTCGTTCAATTTCTCAAGCCTATATTACAAGGCAATTCCTACTGAATCTTAAACAGGTGATTCATAAATTTAGTAATCTGTCTTTGATATCAACAATGTACTGGTGAACGGGAGAGTAAGAGAGAAAGCAATTACAATTTCATATATATATATTTTGTGTATATTGCAGGATGGCAAAATTTTACCAGAAGGTCCTGTTGTTATTTCCCCCGATGGACTTTTTCCCTCTCTATATCGTGAAGGTAATAGGTCTGCAGTCTGCTTACCTTTGCTTTCTGCTTCTTCTTACTGTTCCCTTTCTTCTACTTAGAGGTGTGATCACCGATCAATGTATGTAGAGCACTGAAATATCATACTAGTTATCTAACATCTAGTTTTTATTTATGATTCTTTGGCCATTTAATTGATGTATCAGAAAGTCTATGATGTTCATCAAGGTTGAGTATGTAACGCTCTGGTCTTTACTTTATAAATATTTTGGACTATGACACTTTTTTTCTCTCCATTTTCAGTTATTAGGAGGGTTCCACATGAATTCAAAATTGCATGCTTAGAGGTTAGTTTGCTGCTGCCACATATTAATATTACCATAATTTTAAATATGGGTGTAAATGAGTTGAGTCAAATTGAGCATTTGGGGCCGAGTGCCTCGAGAATGCCTTTTTTGTTTGATAAGTTGAATTTGAATAAGTCATGAATAGTTCTACTTATTTTCACCATAAGTTTAAATAATCTTCTTCATGCTCATCAAGGTATTAAGTTTAACTTGAATTTTCATGTCTCCAGAGTATCAAGGCTCTTTTTCCTTCTGATTGCAATCCATTCTATGCTGGTTTTGGAAATAGGGATACTGATGAAATCAGTTACCTTAAGGTTGGAATCCCTTTAGGAAAAATCTTCATTATAAATCCCAGGGTAAATAATCCTTCTTATTTTTGAAAAAAAATTGCTAGAATTTCCAGAAATATAAGTTTGTCAAGCCTTTTCTTATTTCTAAATTTTGCAGGGGGAGATAGTTGTGAACCGATGTATTGACACAAAATCATATACTTCTATGCATGCTCTCGTAAACGGAATGTTCCCCCCAACGAGCTCGTCCGAGCAGGTTTGATTAACGAACTTCATCTTTTAATTTTCTATTCATAATCATCAGTCTCGGGGATTATGATGCGTGCATATAATTGATATAAATTCTGAATTTCTGGTTACTTTATCTTGCTTTGAATGCAAGTTTGATACTCTGAGAATTTGTTTCCAATCCTTAATCTTGCTGATCAATGATTGCAGGAGGATTTTAATTCATGGAATTTCTGGAAGCTACCTCCTTCTGCAATTGATATTTGAAAGAACCCTATGGCTTTTGGGCTCAACCATTGTTGGTCCTGGCTATGGATAGATGCAGGCTGTTCAGCTCTTAAAACAATACAGGTAATTTCATTATAAGCTTTAATACATAATTATATGTGGCACAGTTGTGCATGTGCATGCAACTTCATAATGATCTTTTGCTAATACAGGAAACTGCTTTTCTGTTGACCTGATTTTTTGAACATTATAATTTGGAGGATGGAATTCTTAAGAAAAATCAGGTTGAATATGATGAGGTCCATTTTTGTTAGTTCAGTGTGAAGTCATTACCACTAAAGCCATGGAATCTCTAGAAGTTTACATCTCTTCTTGATTATTATAGATTAGTGCGTAGTTAAGTCCTACTCCTTTCCACTCGATTGTATATGTAGTTAAGTCCTACTCCTTTCCAGTCGATTGTATATGTACTAGTTTTAGGGCACGAGGAGAAATTCGTAAAACGAGTGGACATAATTTATGTTTGATACAACATTTTGTTATATTTAGTAATATAATACAAATAATGTTTAACAATGAACGCCACTACTTATTTTTAGAAGTATAATTCTTGTTCTGTCGAAATGCATGTGTATGGTGTATGTCGAATAGTTTATTGTATAGGTTATAAGTTGTATT